CAAAACGATCTGTTTCCATATCGGTTCACGCTTCCATGTAGTTTACTAGTTCCAACTCATGTTTAACAGGGATATCCATAAAGGTCTCACCTAAAAACATGATTCTGTCAGATTGAATAATAATCCTTCCACTACAATAATGTACCGATGCAGGAATCTATGTACTAAATGATGCTGACGCATCAATAGGGAATTCATATATTATTCTCAATCTTTATAATAAGTGTGTTCATATGTGGTACATCTGGTACTCATACCATATTCTTTAACATTATGCTACTAGGTTTGTGATTCATAATATGATCCTCCTATAGATAAACAGTGAGTGTAAACAGTTAACTTTTATCATTGAGATCATAAAATAATCCATCATAGTACCTTTAGAGTAGCTATCAAATCTATCATGCGTATGATCTGTTTCCAACTTACTTGTCCATATTAATCGCACATGTGCAAGACTACCCCATATGTGCATGTGATTTAAACTAAGATTTAGTCAAAAACACAGCTCAAACAGTATCCTTGAGACAAACTAAGATGGAATGCAGTTCATAATGCACATCAATATCATTAACACTAAACTCTTAAATGAAAGAGATAATGTAGCATAACTGATCATAGATCTAACCATGTTAAGTGGAATTCTGTTATTTCTATTTGACACCATATTCTTTAACATTATGCTACTAGGTATGTGATTCATAATATGATCCTCCTCTAGATAAACAGTGAGTGTAAACAATCAACTTTTATCATTGAGATCATAAAATAATCCATCATAGTACCTTTAGAGTCGCTATCAAATCTATCATGCGTATGATCTGTTTCCAACTTACTTGTCCATATTAATCGCACATGTGCAAGACTACCCCATATGTGCATGTGATTTAAACTAAGATTTAGTCAAAAACACAGCTCAAATAGTATCCTTGAGACAAACTAAGATGGAATGCAGTTCATAATGCACATCAATATCATTAATACTAAACTTTTAAATGAAAGAGATAATGTAGCATAACTGATCATAGATCTAACCATGTTAAGTGGAATTCTGTTATTTCTATTTGACACCTAAATCTATTTAGCGTCAATTACGAAAAACTGGTACACAACACCCTTATTGACCATATAGTCTTTTGCACTATCCCAAGAAATACTCATATCCAAGATCAGATCGAATTGTTTTGATAAGTTTACCTAATATGTGCTTCACATCAGTCTTGACACTTTCGGAATATACCAAAAGTTTAAGACTTGTGTCGCTTCAGATAAATTTATCCAAAACTTGAGTAATCTTGCTTGGATGTTCATAAGACCACATGTGTCTGTGTGTACCGACTCCAATTGTTCTTTATGTCTATTTCATTTGGCTGATTAAAGCCCTTAGGGTTCTCTATCCTTCAATACAAGATTCACAAGTTGGTTTAGGCTCCCCTACCTCACTAGCTAATAAACCTTCTTTGACCGATCTTTGAATCTCATTTTGACTAATTATAACACAATAATAGACAAAAAATACAATGAGTCAGGAATAACACATTTTATCTTAACATTCAATCTAAAATATGTAACATTAGTTTTTACATCCTGCAAATATTAAGAGCTTATGGTTATAGTATATTAACCATCTTTCAATGCACCAGAAGTAATCACACATCTAATCTATTTTATAAAACCAGTTTTATAAAATAACAACACAGTTTTTATAAACCAAAAGTGAAACAAGAATGAGATTGCGTCTAACATCTGTGCATAAAGATAGTTCTCTAATACTAATATCCTCATACTCTCTAACTTCGAATGTAATACTCCCACTGACTTAGCTACAACCTTGACATCAGGTCAAGTACAAATATATATCCATATCATAGAAGTTTCTGAATTCCTGAAATCCTTGCAATAAATTGCAAATATGTTTAAAGGCTCCAGAATTAGATACAACCACATAATATGGCTCAATGATTAAATATATATTTTCCTATGCCATGTCATTGCTTAGACAGTTCGTCCTTTAGTGTCTTAGTTAGCAGCAAAAGAAACAGTTTCCTTCGCCCTCAACATACACTGTCATATTCCCTTTAACCTTTTGGATACCCATGTTTTATGCTAGCCTAGTCCTATTATCATCCTTCTTCTTTCCTTTGCCCTTCCACTTGGGCCTAGAAGAAGATGGTATAGACTAGGTTAGATTGATAGGAAAGCCCATACTTTTGATTATCCCTTCATATGTTACCAATTTTATAAGAATATCAGCGAGTGTGAACTCAAACTGGTTCCTTATTTAGTTCACTCTAAAAGAGTCAAACGAGTTTGGTAACATGGCAATAATCGTGTCAACTTGAAACTTACTACCTAAGTAAGCCTTATTGATCTCCAGCTAATTTTTAAATAATAAACAATCATTTTTCAAAATTCGATCTCATACTGGAGTTCCTTAGGCTATCTTGATGGTATTCAAGTCTGACATAATACTTTGGCATATTCTCTATCTTATCTCACCAAACATCTCATTGACATTTAACATGATGCTTGAAGAAAATAAAATAATATAAATGTTAGCTTTGGAGCGTATTCGAGATAAACTCTAGAATATTGCACCAAGTCATATCATTTGCCTTATTTTATTTTATTTTTTTCCCTAAATAAAGGAATGTATTAATATAAACAAAAAGTACACGGAAACATTGAGGGCATACCCCCAGTAGAAACAAAGTAAACACCACACATCTTAAAAAGGCAAATTAAAAGCAAACAAAACCCAAACAAAGACTAGAAATGTCTTGAAAGCTGACCCCCATGACATCAATAACTTCAAATAAAATACCCTTAGCAATATCTAAAGGTTTAGTAGAGGTATCCTTATGTATCCTATTATTTCTTTCCATCCACATGAAATAAAGAGTAGCAGTAAAGAGAATCCTTGCCATTTTGTTCCTCCCTTTACCTTTGAATTTCTGAATAAACATGTCAGTCAGCTCTTAAACTGAAATATATCTCTGCAATTGCCAACCACACCAATCTGATAGACCACTCCACACCCTCCATGTGAACTTACAACTGCAAAAAACATGATCCAAAGTTTCCTCATGACTTAAACACAGACAACATCTAGAAGCTAGATAATACCCTTTACTCTTCATGTAAGAATGAGTTAAAACAGCTTGATGCATCACAAGAACTGAGTGAGTTGACCAACGAGGTCTCCCTCCACTCCAACAGATCCTACTTCAGCTAACCTCGGGACTTTTGGTTCTGCAAACCTCCCAAGCAGCATGAAAACTGAAAGTATTCTTCCAAGTCAATACATCCACTCCACCGTGTATCTTCTGATTATAGAACACCTGCAGCACCTCCTGAGAAGCATTCATCAAGACCTCATCATTCCATTGATTGTTAACAATAAGGTCACTTAAGCAACACATTTTGTTCCTACTGATAGAACTCAATAATCTGTGATTAAACAGCTCCCTCAAGAACAGCCCATCACACCAAGGGTCCAAAAACACCTTGATATTAAGACCAGGCCCAATTCTATATTTGCAATTGAGCTTGATTGCATCCCTTACTGTAATAATGCTCTTCCATATAGATGAACAAGTAATCTTTGGAATAATATTCCAAAAAGAAGCCTGTTTTAGATAGTGCTTTTCGAACCAAGCTACCCAGATTATGTCCTTAGACAGTAAAAAATCCCAGGCCAATATGCATTTTGAAGCTGAATCAATGTCTGTTATTCTTCTTATTCCCAACCCACCCACTTCTTTAGGAGCTGCTAACTTTTTCCATCTCAGACCATGCATCTTCTTACTGTTATCTACATGCCCTCAAATAAAATTCCTCATTCGTGTCTCAATTAAGTTTATAACCATAGCAGGTAACGAATAAACTGAGGTCCAATAGAGCATCATAGGAAGAATTACATCCCTGCTAAGCTCTACTCTCCCAGCGATAGATAAGTGCATGTCGTTCCATCTAGTGGTAGAAGCTATAACTTTGTTAATCAAACTAGTACAATCTTGCCGTCTCAGCATCTTATCAGAGATAGGTAAGCCCAGATAGTTAAATGGTAAAGATCCCACCTTACAACCCAAAGCCCGTATCACTGCAGATTTTCTTCTCACAGACCTGGTAAAATAAAGCTCTGACTTATCTTTGTTAACAGCAAGTCCAGAGAGATTTTCAAATTTCACCAAGGTTCTTTTCAAGCATAGGACAGTAGCCATATTAGCTCTGACTACCATTAGCAGATCACCTGCAAAGAACTGGCGTGTGATAGATAAACTAGCTTTAAAAACCGCATGAGAAGGAGTAATTGTCCCACTCTTAACCTCAGCATCAATCATACCTGAAAAATATTCAGTGACCAGAGTGAAAAGAAGGGGGGATAAAGGACAACCTTGTCGAAGCCCTCTTTCAGGCTGAAAAAAACCATTAGGAGAACCATTAATAATGATTGAGAACCAAACAGAGGATAAACACACTTGAATCCAAGAACTCCAAGTATTTCCAAAGCCAAAGAGTCTCATTATATCTAACAAAAATGACCATTGAACTGTATCATATGCCTTCCTCAAATCAATTTTCCAAGCTAAAGTTGGCTTTGCTCTCTTAGCACCAAACCCTCTCAGAAGCTTATGAGCCATAATAATGTTATCCTGAATCTTTCTACCTTGAATAAAAGCATTTTGCTCTTTATCCACAATCATACCCAACACCTTAGCAAGTCTATTTGCCAAAATCTTTGCAATGACTTTATAGAAAACATTACACAATGATATTGGCCTATAATCACCCACCTTGAGAGAATCTTTCTTCTTTTGTGTCAAAGTAATGAAGGTACTGTTAGTCCCTCTTCCCAATTCTAGATGGGAGAAAAATTGCAAAACAACATCAATAAAATCTTCACCAAAAATACTCCAGAACTGTTAAAAAAATCGAGAAGTGAATCCATGAGGACCTGGAGCTCTATCAGGTCCCATAGAGAACACAATATACTTTATTTATTCTCTAGTGATAGCCTCTTCAAATATAGAACTCTCAACAGCAGACAATTTGTTTCTTATACATCTAGCTTCTGGAACATAAAGGGCAGGTTGATCATTAGAATAAGCTCTTTGAAAATGATCCACAAACTTGCTCTTAATGATACTTGGTTCAGTAATGGAAACCCCATCCTTTTGAATAACTGTGATATTGTTCTTTGCTCTGTGTTGCTTGATTTTTTGGAAATAAAATTTAGTACATCTATCTTGCTCCTTCACCCATTTGATCCTAGACTTCTGAGCCAGTAAAATTGTTTCATTTGAAATAGCAGCTTCAAGAGACATCCGACCTTCCTTTTCAATCTGAATAAGTCTCTCATTCATTGAATCATCTCGCAACTGATATTGAATGTCAGCTAGCTTCTTCCTACAAGAAATAGCTTCTTCATAAACAGAACCAAACTTATTCTTATTCCAATCTTTTATTGCTTGTTTAGTGAGCTTTAACTTGTAAAGAAGTCTTTTGATTGGATCCCCACTGGTCTTAGTCTTCCAAACTTCAACAATCATGTCTTTCACTATAGGTTGTTGATTCCACACACAAAGAAATCTAAATGGCTTTGGCCCCTCAGCAATCTGTAAAGGAAACATCATCTTTAAACCCCAGTGATCTGAGGTCAAATGGGGAGTTAACATTATATGAGAATTTGGAAAAACCTGCCCCCACTCCTCATTTATTAAACTCCTGTCCAACTTTGCATAAATCCTCCTATTAGAGTGCCTGTTATTACACCAAGTAAATACACCATTAGATGTTGGCACTTCTGACAAACATAAGTTATCTATGGTCTGATTAAAATCCTGAAATACTCTTGGCGGATGTTGTCTCCCCCCTTTCTTCTCTTCATTAACTCTTATTATATTCCAATCCACCATTAAAAGCCATGGCCCATCAATAAACTGAGCACTATCCTCCAAGTCTTTCCATAAGGATTTCCTTTGATTATCAGTATTCTTAGCATATACAGAAGTCACATAGAATTTGCTATTAGACCCTCTAACCACTACCTGTAATAACATCATCTGATCACTGGTCTGTAAAACTGAAACATCAAGTCTCAATGGATCCCAGCCACACCAAATTCTTCCACCTGCATCAGCTGAATAATTATTATCCCAACTCCAATTATTCCTAATTCTGACTTTTAATCTCTGGAACTTACTACTATTGACTCTAGTTTCTACCAAACCACATAACACAATCGAGGAGTCACTTAACCAGGCCTTCACTTCTTTCTGCATAACCAGCCTATTAAGACCTCGAACATTCCACAATCCTATCATTTAGACAAAGAAATTGGTGGAATTGCCCCACTTGCAATCATACCTCTTGTAACTCTAACCACACTAGGATCAATCTCTACTTCCTTCTTTTTATTCTTTTTTTTTTTTTTTTTTTTCTACTTCTTTGAGCAAGAGGTACCTCCCTCTGGTGATACTGGAACCCCCACCTCTGTCTCCTGCACTAGATTTTGCACTTTATCCGTAATCTGGAGATCCCTTTCAATAGCACATTCTTGATTATTTTCCACTGACATTACAGCTACCCCATTACCCTTTTCAATCGCTATAGCATTGTCTAACGTAGGTTCCTCTCCCTCTTCTCTCTCAGTTAATTCATCAAGAACTTGGAATGCGTTCAAGGAGACCACTTGTAACTGTGATTTTTGAGACCCTGCCTTAACTTTGCCTTTTGATTTCCTTTGCACTGTAAAGCCACCCACCTCTTCAATCATCTCTATTACAGGACTCAAAATTTCCTTATCCCCCTCTGAGATACCCTTATCTTGGGGTACTGCTATGTTCTCCTTTTCGAGTTTTTTCACCACCCACTTCTCCTTAGGTTTAGAAATTCTAATCTTGTTTAATGGACACAAACTCTCAGTATGATCCATCTTCTTGCATAGACCACATATTTGAGGCTTCCATTCATATTCAACTTGTACTCTACAGGATAGCCCATGCAATGTTGTGTTAATTACTTCTGGGAATTTATCATCCACTTCTATCTCTGCCAAAACTTTAACATATAAACCCCTCTCTCTACAAAGAGTAATATCATCCACATATATAGGTTTAGCAAAGTTTGACACCACTTTGGAAACTGAAGTTCCACTTCGAGCATGAACTGGAATGTCATACACCCTCATCCATATGGGAACGGTAGCTAAGATATCACGCTCCAATTGTATACTCTTATGCCATTTCTTCACTATGATGGCTCTACCTTGGAACGTATGAAATTGAGATAGAACTTGTAGCATATCATCCTCAGACGGAAAACGGGCCTGGAAGAACCCATCCTTCATCGAAACTACCACGACATCTTTATTCCATCTTTTCTGAACATATGATTTGAAGTAGGGGAAGTAAGGCTTACTTCCTAAGACGTAACAAACCACAGAATTCGCCCATTACTGTAACTCTTCAGCAATATCTTCATCTTCAATAACCACACACTCCTTATTCCGATTCTCACTATAATAAGTTAATGGCGTAAAGCCATTAGTCGTAGAATTCTAGAGTAAAGAACTCCATGAGGGGCGGCGCGATGGGGAGGAAAGATCATGTACACTACCCACAGTAGAGGATGGTTGCCCTTTCTCCATGGAAGTGATCATCGTCCCCAGAAACCCTAGTAACCCTAGAGATGCCAATGTCGCCCTAGCTTGATATCATTTGCCTTTTCACTTATTAAAAGTATTAATGTTCTCTTGGGTATCTTAAAGTAAAAGGATTAGGTTTAGGAGTAGTAAATACATTTTGTACCACTACGTTGTGAATAAAATATCTAAGTTCCTTTTCCAGTGAATATTCATAAGGTCTAATTACATTGAATACGTAAGCAAGCAGATAAAATAGATTAGACATAATTAATCTGAATATAAATGCATTCATACAATATGCAAATTGAATTATTAATACTATCATGCATATTTAAAATTAAAATTAGTTTATTAACCACATAATATAATAAATCTCAAATAGAATAAGAGATCATTATCATTATTGGTGAACAATCTCTTTTAATTAATGCGGGTCCCTCAACTTCGTAACATAATAAATCATACAATCAATACGTCAATAACTTATCCTGATGGAGGAGTTCATTATTACTATTGTTGGGATTCATTTGCTATTAGGTGAGCACTTCCATTAAAATAATAATATGTGGGTCCTTTAACCATTGCATTAAAAATCGGATAACCAATACGCCAATAACTTATTCGGTTGGCTAAATTCATTATTGCTATTGGCGAGAAAATTCCATCATTTCCATATCTCTTAAGACAATTCCTTGTCGATCATATAAAATGATTCCCGATTTTGTTTAGCCTTTCTAAAATCACCTAGTGTAGACCACTCCGTGGGGGAGCTAACACTATTGATTTTAGATTGAGTGTATAACATTATTAAAACTCTAATGAAAAATAAAACATTAAATATCTTGTCATTATAATCTAGACCCTTTAAATCATGCGTAGGGCCTTATTTTTAAAGATCTAATTACAATGAACATTTTATACTTTTATTTTCAATAAACAACCACTCTTGTAATATTAAAACTTTTCAAATCATGCGTGGGGCCTTATTTTTGAATATCTAATTACAATGGTTTTAATAACGAAGGCCATGGGGTAATGTATAAAAATCCCCGCTCCCACTCAATTTTTAATCATTTATAATTAGGGTTTTCAATTTATTCATGATTTAATGCATACAAAACACCTTGATTTTAATCCAATTAAATTTAGAAAATATCTGGATTTTAAATGATTCACTAATATTTAATTTGAGGCATTCTTTAAAAATAATTTACAAAAATAATTTTTCGTTTCCTAATAAATGCCCTCAAATTAATTAGCAATCAAATCCAATTTTTCTTCATAATTTAATTAATATAAATCAAGCCATTTAGATGAAAAATCATGGATCCAATGCATGAATCCGTATTAAATTATTCCATGCATCACATAAATAATTAAACCACAAACAGAAGTAATTTAAATAGCCAATGGATTTAACTTTTAACATTTAAATACTATTCTTGCTGTATGGGCACCCTTCATCAGTTTATAAACACCAATAGGAAGCTAGTACGTGTTAGGAGAAGCAAAACGATGCTTGGAACGTGCCTGGAGGGTCCCACCCGCGCTGGAACGCGCTTGGGGGCAGCAGGGCAAGACACGTGCTCCCATGCCCTGGCACGTGCCTGAGGCTCGTTGCAGCGTGTGCATCTCACGCGCTAGCATGCCTTTACCCTCTTCAGCTCCTGACACGTGTTCCTTACGCGCCAGGCTCATTCTTGATGTGATGCACCAGATTCCAGCCTCCTCCGATGCCTTTTCTCGCCGCCGGCGATGCTCTGGCCATTGGAAAAACGCCAAAAAATTTCAGAAAAATAGAAAAAATTCCCAGAAAATTAAATTAAGCCTAAAAAAATTCCAGAAAAATTCTGAAAATTTTTGAAAAAATTCCAGAAAATAACTGAAGCCTAATCTAGCCCTTTCGGACATTCTTAAAGCTTTATAGCATCATTTGAAGAAGATTACATGGCTTTAATAAATATTTACAATTTGAAATACAATGAAAAAAAAAAAAAATTACATCATTGAATTTTCAAACGGCTAAATCAAAGCCTTAATTATATTCATCCAAAAATAAAATTACATTCAATAACCTATAAGCTTCATCCATGGCCCAAACACACATCATCATCCATTCCCAATTATACATACATCATCATGTATTAATATATGTCAACATAATAAATCATACATCAATAAATAAATATATATGAATATAATTTTGGATCCATGAATGATAATTTTCATAAAATTATGATCTCTAGTAATGAATCAAACCATGTTCTGATACCACTGCTAGGAAACGTGCAAGTTTTAAAAATTTTATGAGGGATTTTCATACATAGATCTTGATTCATCACATAGAGACAAGTTTTATGCAAAAATAAAATATGATGTATAATTCAATTAAAAGATTGAATACTTACATCAAAGGGTTAAGTAAACCTTAGATCTCTCCTCTAAAGTGAATGCTCTCACTTATTGTAGATTCCTTTTCTAGATGCCTTCTCATTAGATCCCCATCTTCTTGGTAATGGTCTTGCCTTTAGGAATCATCCATTAGCCTCCATGAATGATCTTAGAAAACTAGGCTTGTGCGAGCCTTCATTAGATGAGAATATTAACCCTAATTTTCTAGAGAGAGAATATATATTACTTTTTCCTTCTTCCAAAAATCACCCTTAAAATATACATAGACCATCTATATATATAGGCAACATAAAGATAAGGAAAAGGAAATAATAAATCCTTCTCAATTTTTAATTCACATGTCTCAAATCTACTAGGATTCCAATATCAAGGTGGGCTATGAGTGAGAATTCTTTGGGCTTATTATTTTATTGGCTACAATGAATTAATAATTGGCCCGGTCCATGGACCCAATTCAATTAATTCATAAATTAATTTCTACTCCACTAAAAGAAGTTCCAATTAAATAATAAATAACCTCTAAGTCAATATTGCACTTTAACCCCTCTATGTATAATTAGTTATCGGATAAATAAAGCCATCAATCCGACTACTTAATTAATATATTTATTTTGGTACCTTTGATTATTTTCGGCTTGATCACAATAAAATATTTGTTTGACAAAAATAATAATTTAAATAAATAAATATATAATAAATCATTTTGTCTAAAAACACACGAAGGCCTTCGAATTTACTTTATGATCAATTACAATCAATACAAAATAATTACAAGTAGCAATGATGCAAATATTGAAAATATAACCCTCTAATTATTAATTACATAATTACCCAAAGTGTCGGTCCAAGGATTCTGAAAATTCCTCCGAACAAATCAAAGTAATTACTAATTAATAAAAGAGTCTATACTTCTCTCATGCTTAAGAGTCAAATGCCATGACAGTGATAGGGAGCAATTGCATACGATGGCTCTCGCAATATATTTCAACCTAAGGCGGATTCAGTTCAAGTCTTAATTAATTGTGAGTCTATCCATAATTACCGACTATAAACAATTTATGATTACTATTTATATTCATGTATTGATCGTTATCACATACATATATAAATATATCTTGTAATCAAGTGGACACTATCAATTCTATAATGAATCGAAACATAATACATTGAATTCACCAATTGTATAAAGCATAAATATTTTAGAAACGTCAGGAACATATGTCACTATAATCTAAATAAGAATTTGCTATGCCAGGGCATATAAAACTGAACAACAACTACCATATAAGCTCCTAATGGTTAGTTGCTATGGACTTGTTGTAACATGATAGTAAAGCTATTCCTAAATTCCCCAAATACTATAACCATTCATGTTCTTAAACTATTGGGAAACCTTTGAAATTGTATCTTGCCTTAACGTGCTTTAACGACTTCAGGAATTACATCCTGATACTTGGTCACAAACATCCCCGCAAACCTTTTTTCATTTATTTTGAGTGCATAAATTAAGCTCAGATCTCCCTTTGATCAGATTTTTAGATATCAAAGTTGCAGAACTATACACCTTGGAATAGTCCACTTCTCCAAGCTAAAACATAAAGTAAGTGGATTATTGGAAATTAATTTATGCTGTAATTTTAGCTGATTAACAAAGAAGCCCATTACTTTCCTATCTTTCTCGGTGGAGGCATGTGTGTGTGAGTACCGACTAAGAAAATAAAATAAAATAAAATGAGCATACACAATGGATGTAACTTGAATGCTGCAATTATGTCATCTTTTGACAAACCAAAATTAGAACATGCTCTTAATTTTTGCTCCCAAAATGATTTGGTCATGAGTGCCATTGAATAGATAACTTGTGAGTTTGTGCGCAGCGGAATGGTTGTGGAATATAATATAGGTAATTAACCTAGAAGGATGTCCAATTTTTACTTATTTTAATTTTACTAAAATAAAACTAAAATCAAACCCACAAAGCAAAAATAAAATGCAAGTAAAGTAATAAAGTTTGAGAGACGACACTAGGATTTTTAGCGAAGAAACCCTAATTGGTAGAATAGACCAATTATTACGGGAAAAACTTATGGTTTGTACAATCCAGAGCAAAACGATCCACTATGTTTGAAGCAAAGTACACTGCATTTTAACTCAGGCTCACACCCTATCATTATACCAAAAACCAATCGTTGACAATCCCTAGCTTTACGACTCCCCCGTCTGACAGTTCTAGACCTCAGGCTTACTCTTGATATATCTCTGTAGAAGAGTTGCAGGTAGATCAAACAACA